CCTTATTTGGATTCCACTACAACTTGTATGCTGATGACACCCAGATATATCTCTCTTTCCACCTCTCCCCTGCCGTCCTGTAATGTGTCACTGCTTGCCTTTCTTCCATCTCTGACTGGATGTCCTCCAGCTTCCTGAAACAAAATCTCTATATGTAATGGATCACCTGGCACCCCGACTGGGTACCTCCGTTAAAGGATGCTCCTAGCGTTTCCTGAGGACTCCAAGCACTCTGGCTGACACCACAATCACCGAACCGAAGAAGCGTATACTTTCTCTCAAGCATATGAATGCTATAAACAGCTGAATAGGCAAAAACCATACGGATGGGTTTAGACTCCTAGCAGTCAAACTGGAACAGCATACAATAAATCCTCCCCCAATAATGAGACGACACTTCACTTTGAGGGTTAAGCAGGAACTGACTGGACTGGCACATACAGCCTCTTTTATTCCCAATCCACAAACTTAGTACTGCCCACAGGGTTTTACATAACAACCAATAACACACGCACATTACAGAAAGACACTCCCACACAAACTCCTCCCCTCTGGCTGTGATATGATTACTGAACACAATGGTTAATCTAATTATCACAGCCAGAGAAATACAGTTTTTCCACATTATTCATAACTTGAAAAGTATGCATCACATTCACATAAACATACATAAACTTACATTTTCAGAATCAGCATACTCCAAATACAAACATATGTCAAAATCATATATATTGGTCCAGTGGTTCAAAAGTTAAGGAAAAGTCCTATTTGACCAAATGCAGCATGGCTTTTCTGCCCAAAACCAGTTCCATAGAGTCTTCTATCCTGGAGATAATTGGGGAAGTAATCAAATTATCTCCAGGACAGAGGCAAAACTCCATTAGCCACATGGCAGCAAAAGACAATAAAACACATAAAAACATATAACTGTGCAGCCATTGCACAAAACAGGTACATTCAACATATCCCCAGATAGCTCAGATCTGAGCGCACATTATTACTGAATGGCGCTCAGAGCACACACATACAGTTCAATTGCCATGGAGCCAAAGTCTTTCCCATAGTCTTTCATTATACAAATGGGCTCCATGGCATAGCTATCTGGGTAACACTGCTCACATAGGGAAAGTACCGAAAGACTCAGCTTTTGGGTCTTTGCAGGGGAAAATCCATCCTTTCAACATGGGGCCATAGTCACAGGGCAGGAGGCCGGCAATCAGTCTTCTCCAATGCCCAGTGGCGAGGCTGGTTCCGCCACACTCTAAAATGGAGCTCCTTGTCTTTCCCCCTCCTAACACTGGTCCTCCTCTTTCACTCTCCCTTCAAGTTAGTGGCATTCACATCAGTTCATCCTTGCAAGCGCACTGTCTTGGTGTCATACTTGATTCTGGCCCCACCTTTGAACCTCACATCCAGCATGTTACCAAATCCTGTAGATTCCATCTTAAAAACATAGCATGCATCTGCTCTCTTACACATGATGCTGCTAAGGAGCTTGTCAATGTTCTAGTAATTTCCTGCATGGATTATTTGACCCTCTCCTATTTTGTCTTCCCAAAAACGGTATTGCCCTGTTACAGTCTGTAATGAATGCTACCACCAGACTGATTTTTCTCTCTAGTCGGTCCTCTCACACCTCACCCCTCTGTCAGTCCTTACATTGGCTTCCTGTATCCTATAGGAGTCAATAATTTAAAGTGCTAACCCATACCTATAAAGCATTGACCAATTCTAGCCCCTCTTATATCTCTTTACAGATTCATAGATATGTCCCTTCTCGGTCTCTCCGCTCTGCCTGTGACCTTCTCCTGTACGCTGCTTGCACGTGTACGGCCAACTCACACTTGTAAGACTTCTCGCAGGCGGCTCCCTTCCTATGGAATAGCCCTCCTACCGCCATCAGACTCTCCCCTAATCTTTAATCATTTAAGAAGCGCCTTAAAACCCATCTCTTAAGAAAACTTATGGCCTCCCAGAGTAACCTCTATGGCCTGCCCTCTGGTTTGTCGTATTTGGCCATTCCGGGAACACACTGCACCGCGTACCAGCGTAGTGCTTGGTACGCATCCCCGAGATCCAGTTCCCTCCATGCCAGTGAATCAAGCTGTATCACATACCTCACATACCTGTCTCTTGCGCTCTCCTAAAGGGCAGCACTCTCCTCCAGCTCTGCTTCACTCCCACCTTATTTGATTGCTATTTCCTGTCCTATTGCGTTTTACACCTCATCTCCTATAGACTGTAAGCTCGTTTGAGCAGGGTCCTCTTCAACCTATTGTTCCTGTAAGTATTTTTGTAACAGTCCTATTTATAGTTAAAGCCCCCTTTTATAATATTGTAAAGCACTACAGAATCTGTTGGCGCTATATAAATGGCAATAATTATAATAGTAATAATAACTGGAATTATTTTGATTTTACCGTACATTATTTTAATTACAAACTCTTCTTATTACAAAAGATATGTGCACTCGCATACCTTTGCATTTGTCTTGAAGAAACTTTGTGGAAAAAATTGCACAGGGAGATGAGTTGTGATAAGCCGAGGTGAGGGACGGTTCTCAAGTCTGCTTCGACCAAGGTACTGCTCTATCCAGGGAACTCGATCCCAGCTATACTCTGTTTTAACACTTGTTGTGTCTCCATTGCTATAGATTAAAGAGAGAATTTCTTGTACCCATGTGGTTCCTGGAATAATAAAGAATATAGACTCAAAGAATGTTTGAACAGCA